CCTTGAAGAATTTAAAACAGGAGAAACAGGAAAAAATAAAAATAGTATTGATACAGAAAGAGGAATTGAAGAAAAGGAATGGGGAGAAAAGACAGAGAAAGAAAGCAAAGAAATAACCACTGTGTTACTGGTGAATCTTCTCTGAACTTTTCCAGGGCGACACCTCCTTTAGCCAGCAAACAGGATGCTGTTTCCTGAGTGTCTGCGAAGTTTTCTCAGATATTCAGTGAATGCTGCTGCCGGTGCTGTGCAGCAGAAGGCTGGCTTGTTAAAAACTGTGCTGTGTCCTTGTCCACCTTACTCACAAGACCTGGCACCTCATGAGTTTGGGCTCTTCCTCAAAGTCAAAATAACTGTGAAAAATCAACTTTTTTGTTTGTTTTTGAGACAGGGTCTTGCTATGTAATTCCAGCTGGCCTTGAAATTACTACATAGCCAAGGCTGACCTCAAACTTGAGTAGTCCTCCTGCCTCAGCCTCACGAGTGCTGGGATTACAGGTGTGTGCCACCACATCCAGTTAAAAGTCAACCTTCTGAATCAGTTCTGGACATCAAGGCAGCCACAGTGGTGTAATGACACTCAGGAAAGAGAACTTGTAGCACTGCTTCAGAAAATGACTGCGAAGTGTGTTCGAAATGAGGGGGAGTATCTACATGTTTTAGAGCAATACATTTTAAAAAACTTAAACCTCACATGTCTTTTGACCATACGTTCCTTGTGAGTGACCTAGTTTGCTGGATTCCATGTGCCTGTGAAGAGCTCCAGTCTCGCTTAGTCTCTATTTGCAGGTGGAAGTTATTTTTGGTTAAGGTTAATGACTTCTGGCCTGAATTACTCAGGTTACATTATTAAAGAAGATTGTAACTGCTCACTGGCAGAGAAGCCACTCTGAAGCTCTGTGCCTATTTCTTCTGGGCTTTGGTGGCTTTCCCCCCTTTCTGACTCTTTTCTTTGATTATCCCCTTCCATCTGCTCCTGGTCATGTGTGTGAGGTTTGTTCTGTCCCCATACCCTGCCCCCACTCCATTCTGGATCTTGACCCTCAGGCAGATACCACCACACCTGGTTTAAATATACTGATTTAAAATTTTTTAAAATTTTTATTTGTACATGTTTACCATACATTGAGGAGTTGGGGTATATGTACATAACACATCTTAATTCTTTTTCACTCTCTTCTCTCTTATTGCCTTCCCTTTTGCAAAAGATTTCTCTCTTTCTTTTAAATTGTCTTTTATATTGCTCTTTACTTTATTTTGGTAGCAAAGTTTTATTAAAGGTAGGAAAAGAAACAGCTTCAAAGGTCTGGGGATTTAGCTCAGTGGTGCCACTGCCTGATTTGCAAGCACAAGGTCCCGAGTTCGATCCCCTGTACCCTCTCCCCCGCACAAAAAAGAGGTTCAGCAGAGCAACTTTGGGCCAAATAAAAGTAGGAAAAGAAGTAAACTCTACAATGTGAGGTGGACCATTCTTTTTGTATTTCCAGCTCCTCAGGCTGTCTGGTCTAGTCTGTCCTATCCAAAACCACTTGAGTTAAACACCTTCACCATAGATTTCAGAGGGGTACAAACAAAATGTGCCCAAAAGGGATTTACTTCCTGGTTGGCTGTGCCAGATTTGGGGTGCTGGAATCTCCTCTTGGAGGTGGTTTCTAGGTTCTTTCTGTCCTGAGCAAAAAATTGGTCAAGACAAGCACAAATGGTAGCACAGTTTAATTAAAGGTAGGACAGGCTTTACAGAGCAAGTTTGGGCCAAGTAAAAGCAAGAAAAAAAGTTACATTCCACAGCATGTGGGTGGGCCATGTGCAAAAGAGAACAACACAGTGGCAGATATTTTAAACACA